ACGTATATCGAGTGTTTATATACACTGTATAAATAAAGGCGAACCACTGAAATAACTTAAATTATATATACTAGATATATACTATACTATTTTACTTATAATATAGTACTAAGTATATATAATATATATATAATATTATACATATGACTATACTAGAATATTATATATATATATGTACTAGCGTACCCGTCCCCGCAGCGTTGCCGCGGGGATAGAAGAAAGTTAGACGAAATATATTAGAATGGATTTCACCAACGCGTTACCAATCATATGTTCTTAGACGCGTGACCTTTTCTAAAAAGTGAGTTATTTAAATGTAAACAATGCCTGCGCTTGGATCATAAATATCGGGACACACGGGTTTAACTTCACTACCGAATGAAAACATTGACGCAGAGTTTCTTCCAGGCATCTCTCTCGGGGGGGGGGGGAGGCAAAGCCCCCCCTCCCCCCCCCCCCGAAAATTTTTTACCGCCCCCCCCCCCCCCCCCGAACGAAATGAAATTTATATAATTTTATATAGAAAATATATACTTTTAACAGTGTCCGCCCCCCCCCCCCCGAAGAAAGCTCTACCGCCCCCCCGAAAATTTCAAGTGCCCCCCGGAGAAAAAAGTCTGGAAGAAACACTGGGGCGTACGATCCCTGGCTCCTTAAAACTAACAGGCGCCATCGTGCCAAATAGCATCCTGTTAATAACAATGATGCAGATTGCGTCATTTCGCTAAAGTGACACAAATGAACCAGGATTCTTTCTTTAACACGTAAAACATTTATTTGTAAAAACAAATTATTTGTTTTAAACATCAGTATGACTGATGCAAAATGTTAGTGATACTAATGGTCTATTATTAGATGCTCGATCTCAATTTCTGATTGGATTATCTAAATTTAGATGCTAATTGCATCATTCGAAAAGTGACGAAACTGTTTGGATTTTTTACGGACAAAAAGAAAATCCCTGTTAATAATCTAATTTTTGTTAACTTCTGATTTTTAAAATAAAACGTATTACATGGCCCTCAGCGGCCCATGTGAGCCTTTGGGGGCCGAAACAGACATTTTTATTGCAGCCTAATCGCACCTACCAGGGCGCCAGAGGACACGCCTGATTCAATTAGTGAGCGTTTGTAACGCCCCATCCTCTCCATTGTCTATCACACTGTTTAGACCGAACGTAGCCGCCATAGCGCTCACGGGAAAGACCAGGGCGCCAAATCGCATCCTGCCGGGTGGTCGCCCATGCAAAATTAAATTCCCCCCTCCCCCCAACACCCCACCCACCCCCCACCCCCCCTCCCCACCCAGAAACCTTCTCGTGAGTATTTATCAACTCCCTAAAGTTTTATGGCACCCGGATAAACTGTGTCGAACCGCAATTGTCTTTTATTTTTATATACCGTAAATAGAGAAAATCCCACTATCCGTGGCGCCGCCCTTGCGAAATTTTAAGACAAAAGATTTTTTACAGAAACCTTTCCTGTAATGTTCTAATCAACTCCCCAAAGTTTGATGGCGATCGGATGAACGGTGTCAAACCATAATCGGCTTTTATTTTCATATACTGTATTTGAGAAAAATCGCACACTCCCGTGGCGCCACCCCTGTAAATTCCAATTTTTTTTTCGCAGAAATCTCCATAGAAATATTTTTAGTAACTTCCCAAAGTTTTAGGCGATCGTGTGAACAGTGTCACGGCAATTTACTTTTATTATTTTTGTATACCACATGTAGAGAAAAATCGCACCCTCCCGAGGCACCGCCCTTGCAAAATTAAAAAAGATATTTTTGCAGAACCCTTCCCTGGCGTGTTCTAATCAACTCCCCAAAGTTTGATGGCGATCGGATGAATGGTGTCAAACCACAATCGACTTTTATATACCGCATATAGAGAAAAAACTAATCGCGCCCTGCCGGGGCGCCACCCCTGCGAATTCGAATTTTTTTTTTCGAAGAATCCTCCCCAGGAATATTCTCAACAACTTCCCAAAGTTTCACGGCGATGTGATGAGAGGTGTAGTAATGCATAAAACACACACACACACACACACATAAACATACATGCTTTATATAAGTATATATATATATATAGAGAGAGAGAGAGAGAGAGAGAGAGATACAGACAGACAGACAGACCTATATTTGTGCATACAAATGTACTAATAAATACAGCATCACTCTACTTGTCTATAAGATTGTAGAAAAAAAAGTCACAGAAAAAAAAACACAGGTAAAAAAAACAGAAAAAAAAGTCACAGGAAAAGTCACAGTCATGGTGTCACCCCACAGAGGCGTAGCGACCCTTCACGGGGACAAACTTTCAATTTTCGATTTGCACCTTCCCCCCTCAAATTTTCGATTTGCTCCCCCGCCCCTCAAACTTTCGATTTGCACCTCTTAAAAGACTATTTAACACTCGAATTAATCACTTAATTAAGTGAAATTATCAATTTTTCTCTATATATTTTGCTATTTTTTGCTTGGTGTCACCCCCCTAAAATGGTGTCACTCGGTGCGGTCCGCACGCCGACCCCCCTTCGCTACGCCTCTGCCTTACCCTAATCGTTGCCCAAACCCCAGCCGCTAACCATAACCCAAACCATAACTGTATTCTAAGATATGACGGGAAGGGGGGGTGGGGGGTAATATCCTACTGGGCGAGGGGGTAATTGTGGTGGGGGGGGGGGGGGTAATTGACGGGGGGAGGGAGTGTTCCCAAGCTACTAAAAGTTTTAAAGACCTGGAACGAAAATAAATATTTAACAATGTTTAAATGTAACGATTGCTTCAGCAGAAATTCCAAGTGAACTTTAGGATAGACAAACACAAAGATATGTTTCTGTATTTGTTCTGATAGACAGGGGTCTCCAAACGTTTGCTGGTGATGGCTGAGGAACTTTGCCTAGAAAAATTAAAGACACCGCCTGGAAGAAACTGGCCCCCGAACTGAAATTTGACAGTTAATGCGGCCCTGCGGACTGAAAGGTTTGGAGACCCCTGTGATAGAAGAAAGGTTTTATTAGTTTTTGAGCTAACTGGGGATATGGGTGTGCTTTTGGGGTGGGAATGGTGGTTAACCTGTTCTAAAATAGGACTTGCTTTAAGATCCGGTATGTACGTAATGTGTTCACAAGGGATCAATGGGCAAGAAAAGCGGAGAGAGTTAATACTCATAAGGCTTTTATTAATCCAAGCGTAACTAGGCGATCGTGCGGCGTCAAAACGACCCGTGACAAAAGGCTCCAAAAAAAAAGGCTTCTGACAGGCATCCGGCATTTTCACCCCTTAGAAACTTTCCCATGAGTATTCTCAACAACTTCCCAAAATTTCATGGAGTCGAATGAGCTGTGTAAGTTTGCATCAAGCACAGACCCACAGACGTACTTTTATTTGTTTGACCGCACTACCCGCCCAGGGCGTGTGTGTGAAAGCTTTGAAAGCACGTTAGTCACCCTCCGTCATAGTGAGGTACATTATATCTCGGTGACCGTCCAGTAGCAGGAGCGTAGCGGAGCGCACTCGTGTGCTACCAGCCACACTACCCCCGCATGGGCACCGGGTACGGCCCCTGGTTCGGTTTAATTATCGCATTTAGTGTGCCACCATGTCCCCATTGTAGGGAGGTCTTTAAAATAAATGTCGCCATATTGCTCGCTGGGGAGCCATGGGCGCCAAATCGCACCCAGCCGGGACGCTGCCCCTCAATTTCTTTTCTGCAGAATACCATCCCATGAGTATTCTCATCAACTTCCCTGCGACCCTGATGAAAGATATAGCAATGCATATATATATAAAGAATACACACACTCACACACATACTTTCAATTCATATATATATACTCTAGTTATAGTTATAGACTAGCAAGCTTATCATTTTTGAAATGTTTCCACATGAGAAAGAAAAATTGAGAAACCCTGAACTATAGGCCTACGTCATTTAAAAATAAATAAATAAATATTAAAGCGCTGTTTCCTTTCAAAAGCCCCCTAATACCCCTCTCCCCCACCTTCATTTGTCTTTACACATAGATCTAGATCTAGATCTAAGTCTATGTTGTAAAATTTATTGTCTCCATTTTAGTATACACGTTGTCTATGCGCACCATGCTTGTTGATAAAAGATAAAAACTTTTGCCTTTACTACGCACAATATCGCCGATGATGAACAGTGTCCGTAGCCGTAGGCTTAACAGACTGTTTTAACTAGGCTAAAATAATGTTGGCCAATGTTATTGTTACGATTGTGTTTTGTTTTATTATTGCTCCAGAAATCAACGCAGGTAAGCTTAAGTTAAAGTACTAAAGTCTTTTGTCTAGAATCTAGAACACATTGGTTTATTAACCAACGCATTTCTTTTGAATAGGCTATAGACAGTATAGAGAATATGAATATAGAGTCTAGATAGAATATAGATCTACTATAGATCTAACTTAGTATATTTCTGAAACATTGTTCTAGCTACTAGACTCTAGATCTAGATCTAGAATCTAGATCTAAATCTACTAGTACTATCCATCTAGAATCTAGATCTAGATAGATCTACATCTAGATTCTAGCTAGATTTTTAGATCTAGATTCTAGTTCTAGAAAATAGCAGATGTTCAAACTTCTTTCTTGGCCTATTGCTCCCCTTTAAACTTTAAAGTCTAATGGAGAGGAGTATTATATTTTTGTACTAATCAAATTAAATAAACATTGTTTCTCTTAATTATTATTTAAATAAGACATAGACTAACTAGTGGCTTACTCAGACAAGAAACTCTATATTTAATTAATAGCTATAACTCTACAATGATTTCAAAAGTTCTAAGAAAAGTATAGAGAGAAGTAGAGAAGTTTTAAAACATGTAACCAAATTTTCAAAAGTAGACTTTATGTTTTATTAAACAAATCATAGTAGATTAGGTTATTACATAACATTTATAGATCTAACATATAGATCTATATAAGTGTTATAATAACATCTAGACGAGATGTATGATATGTTGTTGCAAATGTTACATTTTTTTTGGTGACAGTTGAAGCTTAATTTATTCAAAAATTGTAAATATAAGTTATAAGCGCCTGTTGTACGGTCGTTTATCGTCTGCTTTAATACTATAACGTGCTAGAAATCTAGGCCTATATAGTACATAGGCTAGTTCCATTTTTCGTGATAGATTCGGACTTGTTTATTTATCACAAGTTGGTGTTACTGGTGTATATTTCAAACCTTGAGTCCAACTAATAAAGATAGCCACAAAAGCTAAGCGTATTTTAACTCTCTAGCTAAATTACTATAAGTTGAAGTTTTATTTCCCATGGAAATATACATGCTAATTTTCAATAGCATTAGCGTATTAATTGTTAAACAATTTTGGTTTTAACATTTTGATCTGGAGTCTTGTCCTATTTCAGCCATTAAAATTAGTTTGTTGCTTTGTTCATTCTCTAAATACGTGCCATTTCTCCTGATGATTTAAAGCAATATATCTCGCACTAAAACTTATTGTGATGCACAATACAATCTTACTTGTTGCTAATTATTGTAATTATGCTCAAGAATCGAAACCTGAAAATAACAAGGAAGTAAATATTGAATTGAAGCCATGGTTTGATGTAACTGTAGTCTGTGTCAACACAAACAAAAATGTAAACAAAATGAAAGACCAATTATTATTTTTTAGATCGCTCAAAGCTTCTAGAACATCTTCAGAGCAAAAGTTGGCCCTGGTTTGGAGAAAATTGTGTTAAGATGTGTGGTAATCAGCCCACACCTTACAAACCATGTTTCAACTTAAGGTGAGAACAGTGGCGTCGCTAGGTCGGGTATCACCAGATGCGGCACTTTATGGTGCCATCCCCCCCCCCCCCCCCCCCCAAAAAAAAAGTATATATTTATATAAATTACTAAATTTTTACTTAAAATTATAAATAGGAAAGGCAAAGAGCATTTTTCTTCTGAAAATTTGGTGATTTTTTTTTCATTGGTGTCACCCCCCCCCCCCCCCCCCTAAACGATGTCACCCGGTGCGGCCCGCACCCCTGGCCCCGCCCAAGCTACACCCCTGGGTTAGAAACTTGTTGTTTTCCAAACTAACCTGCATTAGTACATGCTATGGGCTCCTTTCAATTCCTATTTAAATTAACCTTATAAACGTTAGAATATAGGCCTGCTCAGCTATATGTAGTGTAGATCTAAGAAATCTAAGTAAATATCCACAAAGACAAAAAACAAAACAAAATTAAACTGTTTACAAAATATATGTTTTTAATGCTAGGTTAATTAATGAACTGTAATAATATATTTACACATTCTCAACTGCTTATAGATAGGCACTATAGGCCTACATTTCTATATTATGATAGAAATGTACAATGCCTTTAAATAAGTGAATGTGTAATTTTTGTTTTGATCAGACCTGGCAAAGTTGAATCAGTGTTAGAGAGAGCTGGGATCCCCACCTCTGTAAACCTTAAAACAGATCTCACTGTCATCTTTGAAAGCCCCCAAGGTAAAGTGCTCAATTTTGTTGTGTAAGGAATGTACTTGGGAAAATTTATATTTTAAAAATTGAAACTGGCTTTATTTTATACAAGGACATGTCTAGATGTAAAATTGTTTGATTTTATATATTTTGATTTCATCTTCCTTTGTATTTTATTTATTTATATTTGTTTATTTTATTTTATTTATTTACATATTTTAAAAAACTATAACAAACCTAAGTTAACTTGTAATAGATTTGTAATAAATAAATATTTGAAAGTCATGTTGATGGATCATTGGGAAATAAACTATGTAAATAACTTGTCATTTGATTTTTGACAGAGCCTGTTGATGTGTGTGGCAAGCAATTATCCACATCAGCTGTGAAGTTTAAGCTGAATGAAAATGGCAGAGCTGTACCAAAACGATTAAAGGTACGTTGACTCACATGTAGTTAAATAAATAGCCAATTTTTTTAATGCCAGACTAGGCCTTTTTGAAAGCAAAAACATATAGTTAAAATACCTTTAGCTTTTTATGAAAGTTAGTCACTACAAACCTTTTACATTGTGTCATTTAAAACAAATTATAGTTAAGTTACAAAATCCTACAAGTACTAATGTAGTCTAACTCAATAAGTAACATGAGCACTGTTTAAACAAATAAAGTAGTCTGATGTAATAAGAAAGATGAACACTGAAACTGAATGAGAAATATTAATTTAGGCAGACTTAATAAGAACATGAACACTGAATTAGAAATACTACTTTAGGCTGACTTAATGAGAAAGATGAAGACTGTTTAAGAAATAATGTAGTCTGACTTAACAAGAAAGATAAACACTAAATGAAAAATATTAATTTAGCAGTAGGCTACCTATATGACAACTATAATTACCAGAGACATGTACAGGTAGTTTAAGATAGATATTTTATAACAATAAAATAGGATGAAGAATTTTGATTATTTGAACAAATACACCAAACCTATAAGCTGAATACAATTATTTTTTGTAATAACGTTTTTAAAATTAAAATTGCATTTTTTTTAGCTTGGAGCAGAAATCTATCAATATTTTAAAATGAAAATTGCATTTATTTTAGCTTGGAGCAGAAATCTATCAATATTTTAAAATGAAAATTGCATTTATTTTAGCTTGGAGCAGAAATCTATCAATATTTTAAAATGAAAATTGCATTTATTTTAGCTTGGAGCAGAAATCTATCAATATTTTAAAATGAAAATTGCATATATTTTTAGCGCGGAGCAGAAATCTATCAATATTTTAAAATGAAAATTGCATTTATTTTAGCTTGGAGCAGAAATCTATCAATATTTTAAAATGAAAATTGCATATATTTTTAGCGCGGAGCAGAAATCTATCAATATTTTAAAATGAAAATTGCATTTATTTTAGTTTGGAGCAGAAATCTATCAATATTTTAAAATGAAAATTGCATATATTTTTAGCTTGGAGCAGAAATCTATCAATATTTTAAAATGAAAATTACATTTATTTTAGCTTGGAGCAGAAATCTATCAATATTTTAAAATGAAAATTGCATTTATTTTAGCTTGGAGCAGAAATCTATCAATATTTTAAAATGAAAATTGCATTTTTTTTTTAGCTTGGAGCAGAAATCTATCAATATTTTAAAATGAAAATTGCATTTTTTTTTTAGCTTGGAGCAGAAATCTATCAATATTTTAAAATGAAAATTGCATTTATTTTAGCTTGGAGCAGAAATCTATCAATATTTTAAAATGAAAATTGCATTTTTTTTTTTAGCTTGGAGCAGAAATCTATCAATATTTTAAAATGAAAATTGCATTTTTTTTTTTAGCTTGGAGCAGAAATCTATCAATATTTTAAAATAAAAATTGCATTTTTTTTTAGCTTGGAGCAGAAATCTATCAATATTTTAAAATGAAAATTACATTTATTTTAGCTTGGAGCAGAAATCTATCAATATTTTAAAATGAAAATTGCATTTATTTTAGCTTGGAGCAGAAATCTATCAATATTTTAAAATGAAAATTGCATTTTTTTTAGCTTGGAGCAGAAATCTATCAATATTTTAAAATGAAAATTGCATTTATTTTAGCTTGGAGCAGAAATCTATCAATATTTTAAAATGAAAATTGCATTTATTTTAGCTTGGAGCAGAAATCTATCAATATTTTAAAATGAAAATTGCATTTTTTTTTTAGCTTGGAGCAGAAATCTATCAATATTTTAAAATGAAAATTGCATTTTTTTTTAGCTTGGAGCAGAAATCTATCAATATTTTAAAATGAAAATTGCATTTATTTTAGCTTGGAGCAGAAATCTATCAATATTTTAAAATGAAAATTGCATTTATTTTAGCTTGGAGCAGAAATCTATCAATATTTTAAAATGAAAATTGCATTTATTTTAGCTTGGAGCAGAAATCTATCAATATTTTAAAATGAAAATTGCATATATTTTTAGCGCGGAGCAGAAATCTATCAATATTTTAAAATGAAAATTGCATTTATTTTTAGCGCGGAGCAGAAATCTATCAATATTTTAAAATGAAAATTGCATTTATTTTAGCTTGGAGCAGAAATCTATCAATATTTTAAAATGAAAATTGCATTTTTTTTTTAGCTTGGAGCAGAAATCTATCAATATTTTAAAATGAAAATTGCATTTATTTTAGCTTGGAGCAGAAATCTATCAATATTTTAAAATAAAAATTGCATTTATTTTAGCTTGGAGCAGAAATCTATCAATATTTTAAAATGAAAATTGCATTTTTTTTTAGCTTGGAGCAGAAATCTATCAATATTTTAAAATGAAAATTGCATTTTTTTTTTAGCTTGGAGCAGAAATCTATCAATATTTTAAAATGAAAATTGCATTTTTTTTTTAGCTTGGAGCAGAAATCTATCAATATTTTAAAATGAAAATTGCATTTATTTTAGCTTGGAGCAGAAATCTATCAATATTTTAAAATGAAAATTGCATTTTTTTTTTTAGCTTGGAGCAGAAATCTATCAATATTTTAAAATGAAAATTGCATTTTTTTTTTTAGCTTGGAGCAGAAATCTATCAATATTTTAAAATAAAAATTGCATTTTTTTTTAGCTTGGAGCAGAAATCTATCAATATTTTAAAATGAAAATTACATTTATTTTAGCTTGGAGCAGAAATCTATCAATATTTTAAAATGAAAATTGCATTTATTTTAGCTTGGAGCAGAAATCTATCAATATTTTAAAATGAAAATTGCATTTTTTTTTAGCTTGGAGCAGAAATCTATCAATATTTTAAAATGAAAATTGCATTTATTTTAGCTTGGAGCAGAAATCTATCAATATTTTAAAATGAAAATTGCATTTATTTTAGCTTGGAGTAGAAATCTATCAATATTTTAAAATGAAAATTGCATTTTTTTTTTAGCTTGGAGCAGAAATCTATCAATATTTTAAAATGAAAATTGCATTTTTTTTTAGCTTGGAGCAGAAATCTATCAATATTTTAAAATGAAAATTGCATTTATTTTAGCTTGGAGCAGAAATCTATCAATATTTTAAAATGAAAATTGCATTTATTTTAGCTTGGAGCAGAAATCTATCAATATTTTAAAATGAAAATTGCATATATTTTTAGCGCGGAGCAGAAATCTATCAATATTTTAAAATGAAAATTGCATTTATTTTAGCTTGGAGCAGAAATCTATCAATATTTTAAAATGAAAATTGCATATATTTTTAGCGCGGAGCAGAAATCTATCAATATTTTAAAATGAAAATTACATTTATTTTAGCTTGGAGCAGAAATCTATCAATATTTTAAAATGAAAATTGCATTTATTTTAGCTTGGAGCAGAAATCTATCAATATTTTAAAATGAAAATTGCATTTTTTTTTTAGCTTGGAGCAGAAATCTATCAATATTTTAAAATGAAAATTGCATTTTTTTTTAGCTTGGAGCAGAAATCTATCAATATTTTAAAATGAAAATTGCATTTATTTTAGCTTGGAGCAGAAATCTATCAATATTTTAAAATGAAAATTGCATTTTTTTTTTTTAGCTTGGAGCAGAAATCTATCAATATTTTAAAATGAAAATTGCATTTATTTTAGCTTGGAGCAGAAATCTATCAATATTTTAAAATAAAAATTGCATTTATTTTAGCTTGGAGCAGAAATCTATCAATATTTTAAAATGAAAATTGCATTTTTTTTTAGCTTGGAGCAGAAATCTATCAATATTTTAAAATGAAAATTGCATTTTTTTTTTAGCTTGGAGCAGAAATCTATCAATATTTTAAAATGAAAATTGCATTTATTTTAGCTTGGAGCAGAAATCTATCAATATTTTAAAATGAAAATTGCATTTATTTTAGCTTGGAGCAGAAATCTATCAATATTTTAAAATGAAAATTGCATTTATTTTAGCTTGGAGTAGAAATCTATCAATATTTTAAAATGAAAATTGCATTTATTTTAGCTTGGAGCAGAAATCTATCAATATTTTAAAATGAAAATTGCATTTATTTTAGCTTGGAGCAGAAATCTATCAATATTTTAAAATGAAAATTGCATTTATTTTAGCTTGGAGCAGAAATCTATCAATATTTTAAAATGAAAATTGCATTTTTTTTTAGCTTGGAGCAGAAATCTATCAATATTTTAAAATGAAAATTGCATTTATTTTAGCTTGGAGCAGAAATCTACCGCAGCAGACCAAGCCTAGATTGGTCAATAGAAACGGGAGTGAATTACACGCTTTTGTTTTGGGATGTTGGGCTGCTCAGGGTCAGAGGTTACTGGTCAAAGATTCAAAAAGTCAACAGTACAATTAGTGGAAAGGTAAGATCTGTCTATTTTTTTATGAATTAGTTTTTGAACAACCTCTGGTGCATAATCTAGTTGTTCACCTTAGACCAGTGCTGGATATTCTACCTACTTGCCTTAGAGCAGTACTGAATACTGAATAGCATACATGCTTCTTTGGACCCTACTAAATAGTCTTCTTGTTTCTTCTTAAGCACAAAGAATGTTGATTCACTTGAACTATCAGTTACAATTATCATTTAGAGAAAGTTGCTATCATTAATTAAAATCCTATTTGCCTGTATACTTTAATGAATGTATAGGCCTAGCCTACACCTAAGTTAAACCAGGTATTTTTGTATTAACTTTTCTAATCATACATATTACTAGGCACTTAACTATAATTTTTATATACTGCAAGTGAGTATTATTGAAATGCAAGCAAAGCTGTTAAAGTATCAAGTAGTATAATAAACTTCAATTATTTTTTATTGTTTGTGTTTCAATAACTGAACTGTCAACAGAGAAACATATTATATGCACCACCAGCAAATCCTTCAAGAACAGTGAACCCAATCCTGATCATTGTCATGAAAGAACAGGATGAGTTTGATGAAAAACTTATAACAAAAAAATGCAGTAAACGGGTTGCATCAGAAGAGGGGGGTGAAGAGTGTCGAGAAGCTGTCACGGCTTTGATCAAAGATGGACAGAGTAAGGATTATTTATTTTACTCACACTTTTAAATTAAGGATAATTATTGAACTAATATTTTTAATATTGAGGCCTAATTCTTGTTGTATAGCAGTTTTCCATAAACATGGTACCTTAATACTTGTTCTTGAACATAAAGTTTAAATTTTCATGTATCTATAGATATTGTTGGGCTGCAGATTTTCTATACAGATGGCTCTTCACTTTATGAGCAGTACAGAGCATGCATTGAAGGCTACATCTGCTCCACATCATGTGTTAGTAAATTTAAGGAATGTAAGTTTCCATAATATGATGTATAATAGAAATTACATAAGGGTTACACAACTAGCAAAAAAACATTGAACTAACAAATGACTGAATAATTAAATTAAATACTACATTATTGTAGGATATTAACTCCTTTATAGATAGGTGAAGTTTTTTTTACATCCAACTGTAATGTCAGAGACAGTAGCACATACAGTTGTGATGTCAGTTGTTCTACAAAGACAGTAGCACATACAGTTGTGATGTCAGTTGTTCCACCACACAAGACAGTACCACATACAGTTGTGATGTCAGTTGTTCCACCACACAAGACGGTAGCACATACAGTTGTGATATCAGTTGTTCCACCACACAAGACAGTAGCACATACAGTTGTGATATCAGTTGTTCCACCACACAAGACAGTAGCACATACAGTTGTGATGTCAGTTGTTCCACCACACAAGACGGTAGCACATACAGTTGTGATATCAGTTGTTCCACCACACAAGACAGTAGCACATACAGTTGTGATATCAGTTGTTCCACCACACAAGACAGTAGCACATACAGTTGTGATGTCAGTTGTTCCACCACACAAGACAGTAGCACATACAGTTGTGATGTCATTTGTTCCACCAAGACAGTAGCACATACAGTTGTGATGTCAGTTGTTCCACCAAGACAGTAGCACATACAGTTGTGATGTCAGTTGTTCCACCAAGACAGTAGCACATACAGTTGTGATGTCAGTTGTTCCACCACACAAGACAGTACCACATACAGTTGTAATGTCAGTTGTTCTACAAAGACAGTAGCACATACAGTTGTGTTGTTAGTTGTTCCACCACACAAGACAGTAGCACATACAGTTGTGATGTCAGTTGTTCCACCAAGACAGTAGCACATACAGTTGTGATGTCAGTTGTTCCACCAAGACAGTAGCACATACAGTTGTGATGTCAGTTGTTCCACCACACAAGACAGTACCACATACAGTTGTAATGTCAGTTGTTCTACAAAGACAGTAGCACATACAGTTGTGTTGTTAGTTGTTCCACCACACAAGACAGTACCACATACAGTTGTGATGTCAGTTGTTCCACCAAGACAGTAGCACATACAGTTGTGATGTCAGTTGTTCCACCAAGACAGTAGCACATACAGTTGTGATGTCAGTTGTTCCACCAAGACAGTAGCACATACACTTGTGATGTCAGTTGTTCCACCACACAAGACAGTACCACATACAGTTGTGATGTCAGTTGTTCTACAAAGACAGTAGCACATACAGTTGTGATGTCAGTTGTTCTACCACACAAGACAGTAGCACATACAGTTGTGATGTCAGTTGTTCCACCACACACGTCAGTAGCACATACAGTTGTGATGTCAGTTGTTCTACAAAGACAGTAGCACATACAGTTGTGATGTCAGTTGTTCCACCACACAAGACAGTAGCACATACAGTTGTGATGTCAGTTGTTCCACCACACAAGACAGTAGCACATACAGTTGTGATGTCAGTTGTTCCACCACACAAGACAGTAGCACATACAGTTGTGATGTCAGTTGTTCCACCAAGACAGTAGCACATACAGTTGTGATGTCAGTTGTTCCACCACACAAGACAGTAGCACATACAGTTGTGATGTCATTTGTTCCACACAAGACAGTAGCACATACATTTGTGATGTCAGTTGTTCCACCACACAAGACAGTAGCACATACAGTTGTAATGTCAGTTGTTCTACAAAGACAGTAACACATACAGTTGTGATGTCAGTTGTTCTACAAAGACAGTAGCACATACAGTTGTGATGTCAGTTGTTCCACCACACAAGACGGTAGCACATACAGTTGTGATATCAGTTGTTCCACCTCACAAGACAGTAGCACATACAGTTGTGATATCAGTTGTTCCATCACACAAGACAGTAGCACATACAGTTGTGATGTCAGTTGTTCCACCACACAAGACAGTAGCACATACAGTTGTGATGTCATTTGTTCCACCAAGACAGTAGCACATACAGTTGTGATGTCAGTTGTTCCACCAAGACAGTAGCACGTACAGTTGTGATGTCAGTTGTTCCACCAAGACAGTAGCACATACAGTTGTGATGTCAGTTGTTCCACCAAGACAGTAGCACATACAGTTGTGATGTCAGTTGTTCCACCACACAAGACAGTAGCACATACAGTTGTGATGTCAGTTGTTCCACCACACAAGACAGTAGCACATACAGTTGTGATGTCATTTGTTCCACACAAGACAGTAGCACATACATTTGTGATGTCAGTTGTTCCACCACACAAGACAGTAGCACATACAGTTGTAATGTCAGTTGTTCTACAAAGACAGTAGCACATACAGTTGTGATGTCAGTTGTTCTACCACACAAGACAGTAGCACATACAGTTGTGATGTCAGTTGTTCCACCACACACGACAGTAGCACATACAGTTGTGATGTCAGTTGTTCCACCACACACGACAGTAGCACATACAGTTGTGATGTCAGTTTTTCTACAAAGACAGTAGCACATACAGTTGTGATGTCAGTTGTTCCACCACACAAGACAGTAGCACATACAGTTATGATGTCAGTTGTTCCACCACACAAGACAGTACCACATACAGTTGTGATGTCAGTTGTTCCACCACACAAGACAGTAGCACATACAGTTGTGATGTCAGTTGTTCCACCACACAAGACAGTAGCACATACAGTTGTGATGTCAGTTGTTCCACCAAGACAGTAGCACATACAGTTGTGATGTCAGTTGTTCCACCACACAAGACAGTAGCACATACAGTTGTGATGTCATTTGTTCCACACAAGACAGTAGCACATACAGTTGTGATGTCAGTTGTTCCACACAAGACAGTAGCACATACAGTTGTGATGTCAGTTGTTCCACCACACAAGACAGTAGCACATACAGTTGTGATGTCAGTTGTTCCACCACACAAGACAGTAGCACATACAGTTGTGATGTCAGTTGTTCCACCACACAAGACAGTAGCACATACAGTTGTGATGTCAGTTGTTCCACCACACAAGACAGTAGCACATACAGTTGTGATGTCAGTTGTTCCACCACACAAGACAGTAGCACATACAGTTGTGATGTCAGTTGTTCCACCAAGACAGTAGCACATACAGTTGTGATGTCAGTTGTTCCACACAAGACAGTAGCACATACAGTTGTGATGTTAGTTGTTCCACCACACAAGACAGTAGCACATACAGTTGTGATGTCAGTTGTTCCACCACACAAGACAGTAGCACATACAGTTGTGATGTCAGTTGTTCCACACAAGACAGTAGCACATACAGTTATGATGTCAGTTGTTCCACCACACAAGACAGTAGCACATACAGTTGTGATGTCAGTTGTTCCACCACGACAGTAGCACATACAGTTGTGATGTCATTTGTTCCACACAAGACAGTAGCACATACAGTTGTGATGTCAGTTGTTCCACACAAGACAGTAGCACATACAGTTGTGATGTTAGTTGTTCCACCACACAAGACAGTAGCACATACAGTTGTGATGTCAGTTGTTCCACCACACAAGACAGTAGCACATACAGTTGTGATGTCAGTTGTTCCACACAAGACAGTAGCACATACAGTTGTGATGTCAGTTGTTCCACCACACAAGACAGTAGCACATACAGTTGTGATGTCAGTTGTTCCACCACGACAGTAGCACATACAGTTGTGATGTCATTTGTTCCACACAAGACAGTAGCACATACAGTTGTGATGTCAGTTGTTCCACCACACAAGACAGTAGCACATACAGTTGTGATGTCAGTTGTTCCACCACACAAGACAGTAGCACATACAGTTGTGATGTTAGTTGTTCCACCACACAAGACAGTAGCACATACAGTTGTGATGTCAGTTGTTCCACCACACAAGACAGTAGCACATACAGTTGTGATGTCAGTTGTTCCACACAAGACAGTAGCACATACAGTTGTGATGTCAGTTGTTCCACCACACAAGACAGTAGCACATACAGTTGTGATGTCAGTTGTTCCACCACGACAGTAGCACATACAGTTGTGATGTCAGTTGTTCCACACAAGACAGTAGCACATACAGTTGTTATGTCAGTTGTTCCACCACACAAGACAGTAGCACATACAGTTTTGATGTCAGTTGTTCCACCACACAAGACAGTAGCACATACAGTTGTGATGTCAGTTGTTCCATCACACAAGACAGTAGCACATACAGTTGTGATGTCATTTGTTCCACCAAGACAGTAGCACATACAGTTGTGATGTCAGTTGTTCCACCACACAAGACAGTAGCACATACAATTTTGATGCCAGTTGTTCCACCACACAAGACAGTAGCACATACAGTTGTGATGTCAGTTGTTCCACCAAGACAGTAGCACATACAGTTGTGATGTCAGTTGTTCCACCACACAAGACAGTAGCACATACAGTTGTGATGTCAGTTGTTTCACCACACAAGACAGTAGCACATACAGTTGTGATGTCATTTGTTCCACCAATCACCATCCCCAAACTTCACCAAGTACAATGCAGTAGGATATTACCTCCATGTCAATAACCAATTGACCCTTAATATTATGGATGGATTTAGGTTAGAATGTGTTTTTGCTGATGTAAGTTTATTTGTTTTTTATACTCAGTCAGCCATTTTCAGGCACATTATTGAATTTCTAGGCATTTCATATAAAATAATAATTTATACAGTTTGAGACAATTTATTTTCTTATCATACAGATGCAAGACTTGAAAAACAAAATATAAAATTTCTCAACTTAGATCCAGAGAGCATTGATATGTATGCTAATATTCGATATTACTCCATGTATAATGCACAAGTAAATAAAGGTAGCTGCAATAGAATATCCCAAAATGCCCCGTAAGTAAAAAAGATTTTCCAAATACATCAGAAAATAAATATATACATATTTTGGCTATAGACCCTGCATTGTCTGGCTCTGTTAGGCAATATTCAAAGACCTAAATTGCTCCTGTCCCTCTGTTAATATTTTCTTTTTGGATGAGTGTGTGCATATGAGTGTTAGATTGTGTGTGTGAGAGTGTGTGTGTATGTAATAATGTGAATGTGTTTATGAGAGTGTGCATAAGGTTGTGGAGGAGTGTGTGAGAATGTGCATATATATATATATATATAATTTTTATATATATATAGAGAGAGATATATACATATGTATATGTATGTATATATATAAATATATATATATATATATATATATATTTATTTATTTATTTATTTATTTATTTATTTATATATATGCAATACATATGTGTATATACATATAACATATGTAAATATGCATGTGGATGCGTGTGTGCCTCTTAATTATTCGAGGTGGTACCTGTTGAATCTCTCTTTTTTTCACAGAATTTTTGAGTTTCGTCCTCGCCCAGGAGATAATTATGAAGTTGATAAAAGCTATAAAGTAGGCAATATGTTTTTTTGGAGATATTTTCTTCTTGATGTGGAGTTTTCTGGAGATGATACTAGCTTGACAGGTAGTGTACTATTTGTAAAATGTTTATTTTAAAAATTAAAATGAACACACCTGTTAGCTATTTATATAGTCATCATTTACTCCATGATATTACTTGTTAATAGAAATGAACATTGATTCCTTCTTTGAACATAATGACTTCGGTAATAATATTAAAATAAAATATTATTTCAATGCTAATTTGTTTTAGAAAAATACATTTAATAGTCATAGTAAAGATAGAACAGGAACAGTGCCCACGTCTTCTGTTTATCAGTGTAGTTCAGCAGTGGTTACACAACAATCAGTTAGTTCCAAAAGAAATATCTAAAAAACAACTTTTTAAAAAAATTACCATTTCTGATGCACAGACATACTGGGTTGGTATTATATTCTGGTGTCAAGTCATCAGTTTTGTCGTCCTCAAAAAATGGTTGACCTACATTTTTCCTTAAAAAGAACACAGCCTTCACATACAGTTTTAGGAGTTATTGTTATTTGCTCCCTAAATAATATACTTTTGGAGCAATGGCTTTATCAATTGTGTATATATTTGTTGTTTTTGTGTGTTTTGGAGATTTTTCTTTGAGCTCTCACTCTCTATCTCTCTCTCTCTTTAGAACTGCATAAGAATTATGTTTCTGTTATGTTTTTGTTATGTTTCTGCTATGTTTTTGTTATGTTTCAATTATGTTTCTGTTATGTTTTTGTTATGTTTCTGTTATGTTTTTGTTATGTTTCTGTTATGTTTTTTTTATGTTTCTGTTATGTTTTTGTTATGTTTCAGTAATGTTTCTGTTATGTTTTTGTTATGTTCTTAATTTTCCCTACTACTACTGTGTAGGGGAGACAACTACCCAGTACTTGTCTTATTTTTATTTAAATGCTGATATGTCTAAGCAATTAAAAGCAATTAAATACAGTAACTATCATATAGTTAAAATGTGATGGATATTCTAATATATAATGTTAAAATGCATAGATTATATTGTTTTAATTTGAACATGAAACTAATTTCTCTGCAAACAGATACATCAACGCTATATGCTATTCTGTTGGTTAGTCCTGATGGGCATATCAATGCAGGAGACTATGGCAATCAACCTCAAGGCTGCTTATTCTATGCCAATATGCAACTACCATGTGAGTAGTTATTGTTTGTATGTTGCCCTTTCAGATTTGCCATGGGGTAGATAAAGTAGAGTTTGTCTGTTTATCAGACATTGCATTTGAAAGGATAATCTGTACAGTAATGTGTCAACCGTCTTTACCTTCATCCACACGAGTCAGTATCCATTAGAGCTGGATGGACTCAAGCCTGTGAACAGTAACCTCTACTGCTCCCAGTTGCGTCCCTTACGTGTCCCCTGCTTGTGTGTGTTGTGTGCTAGAACGACAGGTACCCTCCCTTTGGTGTATAGTTGTAGCCCTTTGTTGAGTGGTTACATGGAGCGAGAGGTGTTCACGTCAGGTCTGTCAGATGATGGGTGTCAGAGCGTGTGCCAGTGTGTGAGGCAGTAGTAGTAGACATGGCTGTGACTGAGGTCATGTTAAGTATCGTCATCAGTGTTAAAGCATACGAGCCGGCCCGCGGCATAACATACGCCGCTATTTAGTTGTTTCTAATTTTCAATAATTCATAATTTGTGAATTCGACAGTACCAACGCTGACACTGAAAATATTTCTTTAAAACACTATAAGTAGCTCGTTAAGGACCATAACCCCCCCCCTTCCTTTCCCCCCCCCCCCCCCCCCTCCTCCCCCCCCCCCCCCCCCCCCTACGTTTAAAATCGTTGGCTCTGCTTGTAAACATTTAGAGTGAACACAGCTCACTAAAACCATGTAGGGGTGGGGAGGTAGGGAGAGCGTTTGCAGCTTGTTTTCTAACGGCTCGAAGAAGAGAATTATATATGTAGATAGTATCTTTTATTATTTTCATATTATTTATTCTTATATATATATATATTAAAGTTATTATTATTGCTTAGCATTGTTATCCAGTGAATTTACTGTGGTGTATGTTGTCAGTTGCTATAATATACCCCTAGACTTAGACTGAAGAACCCAACACTCCTTATAGAGAACATTAACCTCTACTGCTCCCTATATAGAACATTAATCTCTACTGCTCCCTATATAGACCATTAACCTCTACTGCTCCCTATATAGAACATTAATCTCTACTGCTCCCTATATAGAACATTAACCTCTACTGCTCCCTATATAGAACATTAACCTCTACTGCTCCCTATATAGAACATTAATCTCTACTGCTCCCTATATAGAACATTAATCTCTACTGCTCCCTATATAGACCATTAACCTCTACTGCTCCCTATATAGAACATTAATCTCTACTGCTCCCTATATAGAACATTAATCTCTACTGCTCCCTATATAGAACATTAACCTCTACTGCTCCCTATATAGAACATTAACCTCTACTGCTCCCTATATAGAACATTAATCTCTACTGCTCCCTATATAGAACATTAATCTCTACTGCTCCCTATATAGAACATTAATCTCTACTGCTCCCTATATAGAACATTAATCTCTACTGCTCCCTATATAGACCATTAACTTCTACTGCTCCCTATATAGAACATTAATCTCTACTGCTCATGCTCCCTATATAGAACATTAACCTCTACTGCTCATGCTCCCTATATAGAACATTAACCTCTCCTGCTCCCTATAGAGAACATTAACCACTACTGCTCCCTATATAGAACATTAACCTCTACTGCTCCCTATATAGAACATTAATCTCTACTGCTCCCTATATAGAACATTAACCTCTACTGCTCCCTATATAGAACATTAACCTTTACTGCTCCCTATATAGAACATTAACCTCTACTGCTCCCTATATAGAACATTAACCTCTACTGCTCCCTATATAGAACATTAACCTCTACTGCTCCCTATATAGAACAACCCCTACTGCTCCACAGTATTGTAGAGACCATTAAGTTAATGGCCCCTAAACATTGAAAATATTTATTGTATACTGTATGATAATATAGTAATATTTTAATTTGCATTGTAAAAGCTGTTCCATTCTTGCAGTTAATGCTTCAGCTCCCATGCAGTCTTATAAAATCATGGAATATACTAAAGTTCAGCAAATTCGGGTTAACAAAGTCCACTACTACATCCTGCTGTTTTCTCACACTCAAAGAATTACAGAAAATCCATTGTGGTGAGTCTTCATTGATTTTTTTACATAGTAAGATAAGTCTGTGTTGTTTAATCTAAGTCAGGGGTTCCCAACCCTGTGCCCACGGGCGCCATGGCGCCCGCTGAACGATTCGTATGTGCCCCCTCTCACTATCAGAGTTTCTTTCAGGCATCTCTTCGAGGGGGGGGCTTTGCCCCTCCACCCCCCCCCCCCAAAAAAAATTTCTACCGCCCCCCGAACGAAATGAAATTTATATAATTTATATAGAAAATATATACTTTTAACAGTGTCCGCCCCCCCCCCCCCCCCCCCCCCCCCCGAAGAAAGTTTACCGCCCCCCGAAAATTTCAAGTGCCCCCCCCCCCCCCCCCCCCCGGAGAAAAAAGTCTGGAAGAGGAAGAAACATGGCTCACTATTCAACAGAGATAGAATGTTTTTCATGAACATTATTTTAAAATATGATTTATTTTTATTCATTTGTTACAGTTTTAATTTTTATTTACTGCCTAGGTTTATTAAATATGTTCGATACTTGTCCCAACTTGTTTAGCAGCGAGCCAGACTGCACTATTTACGTTTTGTAAATACATTTCTCTGTGTGTATGCAATCTGAAAAAAATGCCAAATAATTTTATTATTTTGAAACATTTTTGTTTATTATTTATTAATACATTATGACTATAAGAAAATAAGAAAATAAATTATGGGAAAATGACAAGTTATGAAAGGAGTTTGTCGATTTAAAATAGGTGGTGCCCGCCACCCTACCGATATTTTAGAATGTGCTCTAGAGTGAAAAAAAAAGGTTGGGAACCCCTGATCTAAGTTGATAAACTTACAATTTGTCAGTGCATTTAAAAATTTTAACTTTGGCTAGCTCGACTGTAGTTGAATAAGTGGGGATGTTACCTGGAAACTGCTACTGTTAATGAGAGAAGATGCTATATGCTAGTCTAAGGAAAAAGTTATTGAATTGAGAGAAATATGCTTATATAATTATTTTGATATCAGTTGAAGATCCTTTTCTTTTGAAGCTGTTTTATGTATAGTTCATGAATGTAAAGCAGTAATGCTGCATGGCTGGTTAGCTGTGTATTAATTTATTTATAATATTATATATACTATATATATATTATATATATATATATATATATATATATATATATATATATATATATATATATAATATATATATATGTATGTATATATATATATATATATATATATGTATGTATATATATATATGTATGTATATATATATATATGTATGTATTATATATATGTATGTATATATATATACATACGTATATATATATACATATATGTATAATATATACATATATATACTATATTATATATATATATATCTACATAATAATATATAATATATTATATGTATATGTGTGTGTGTGTTTATTGACATAAGTCCTCCCTATTTAACAATTGGTTCTTGCTTTGTGTGTGTCTGCCCATGTGTTTGTATCTCTGTGTGTAGCAATGGAAGAGGTGATATGGTTTGTCAAAACTCTGGGACCTGACCAAACTACCGGCAGACTTTAAGCTGAGAGGGATAAGCTGGTTCATTGTTGTGAAAGATGACTACTCAGGTAGACTACATACCTTCTTTTTACTCATTGGTCATAGTGATATACTCCTAGATTTTAATTTACAAGATATATATATATGTATATATATATATATATATATATATATATATATTGATACATATATAATATATATATATATATATATATATATATATATATAATATCATATATATATATATATATATACTATATATATATATATATATATATATATATATATTGATACATATATATATATATATATATATATATATATATATATATATATTATATATATATATATATATATTGATGCATATATACATATATATATATTATATATATATATTATATATTATAATATATATATATATATATATATATATATATATATATATATCACCGTAAATGTGTATACATGTGGGTTTAGGGTATCAAGACGTATAGAGCGTGAAATCAATACAAGTCCAATTCAATGATAATCAAGTTTATATTGTATATACTCAAGTTCCAATATCCTGCTCATAACTCTACTGTCTTCTACTATCCTATACACTATACACTTCTGCTATCCAACAGCCGTCTTTCTCCTGTAAGCTCGACCAACACGCTATCTTTGACCTACAACCACTAACTCCTAATGCTTGGTCAGCTGACCATCTCACGTGACCGGCCAGTTCATTCCACAGCAATTCTGTCGGTTCTGCTTGACCAGTGTCTACCTGATCTACGCTATTCAACCTCTCACCGGTTTCTCCTGAGAGCAACATGCGGGCCCTGACACCTGGGCGGTCACCAAAATGCCTTCTAGCTCACTATTTCGGAGGCTGGTTAATGTGCACTCAAGGCCCTGGGATATCTGGGCAGTAGTGTGGACAAACTACCGCCCCAACAACTATGACCCCAAAAAATATAGCTTCTGCTTTGTTTACATTTAAATAAAAATACACGATTGGTAAAGCATTGATAAAAAAAACTCTTTAAATATTGCATCCTTCTTTCTTCTGAGACTGCAGCAACACACAGGACGAGTACACTTGTAAAATAATAAACAAGGTTTTTTTTGTCAGCCGGAGAACAATCCCTATACTGGTCACTGAGATCACATTGGTGTAGATATCTATAGGCCTATAGCCTATTTCATATCATGAACTGTTGTTATATGAGTGTGTTGCCTTATGTTCTAAATTTTGCTTGCTTTTGTTGGTAACTTTTTCTTAGTGTGGTGGGACAGCCCTGGACCTAAACATGCATGCACATTACCTGACTTATTGTAATGATTACAGAGGCTCATCGTTATTTGTGTCATCTTGAAATGCCTGACACAAGCCAATCCCAGATACAACATGCCAACTAGTTACTAGAGCCTCATCTTTATTTGTGGTCATCTTGAAATGCCTGAGCTTAGCCAACCTCAGATACAACATGCCAACTAGTTACTAGAGCCTCATTGTTATTTGTGGTCATCTTGAAATGCCTGAGCTTAGCCAATCTCAGATACAACATGCCAACTAGTTACTAGAGCCTCATCGTTATTTGTGGTCATCTTGAAATGCCTGAGCTTAGCCAATCCCAGATACAACATGCCAACTAGTTACTAGAGACTTATCATTATTTGTGGTCATCTTGAAATGCCTGAGTTTATCCAATCCCAGATACAACATGCCAACTAGTTACTAGAGCCTCATCGTTATTTGTGGTCATCTTGAAATGCCTAAGCTTAGCCAATCCCAGATACAACATGCCAACTAGTTACTAGAGCCTCATCGTTATTTGTGGTCATCTTGAAATGCCTAAGCTTAGCCAATCCCAGATACAACATGCCAACTAGTTACTAGAGCCTCATCGTTATTTGTGGTCATCTTGAAATGCCTGAGTTTATCCAATCCCAGATACAACATGCCAACTAGTTACTAGAGCCTCATCGTTATTTGTGGTCATCTTGAAATGCCTGAGTTTATCCAATCCCAGATACAACATGCCAACTAGTTACTAGAGCCTCATTATTTTTGGTCATCTTGAAATGCCTGAGCTTAGCCAATCCCAGATACAACATGCCAACTAGTTAATATTTTGTTTAAGACTACCATTTGTGATACTGGATAACGTGGTCTTTGTTACAAAATGTCACAAGAATTGTTACTCAAATTTTACAGATTTTCTCTCTCAAACCGAGTGCCAGGGAGAAGGGGAGCCCAAAATCGAACGCGATCCTCCGGAAATCTTTAAAATTGCGACCACTGAAGAAACGGATGCCGACCCAGATGAAACAGTTGATATGTGTAAGGCAGTCGATGAACCAAACACCCCACCTACTAACACCCCACCTTCTAACATCCCACCTACTAACATCCCACCTACTATCCCACCGAAAAACTCTGCGCTAACTCTAATCCAGGGGAGAAAACACTGGGTGATTTGTTCTGTTCTGTTTATAATGATCAGCTGAGTGTGTATCCTGATATGTATATAACTTCATCAGGATATGTGTAGTCTGAATAATCAGCATAATATGTGATCTGTTCTGAATATAATTGAAAAGTGAATATAAAACATGTTTTTGTATATAATGATCAGCAGAATATGTGATCTGTTCTGTATATACTAAAGATCTGAATATATGGCCTGTTCTGTATATAATTTAAAAAAAAGTTAATATTTGCTATGATTTGTATATAATAAAAATAAGAATAAGTGCCCTGTTCTGTATATAATAATCAGCAGAGTGTGTGCTTTGTTCTGTACATATCAGAATATGTGTTGTGTTCTGTTTCTAATTACTAGCAGAATATGTGCTCCATTCTGTTTATATAAATCATCAGACTACCTACAAACATTGTTCTATTTTGACATTTTTATTTAAAAAAATTTTTTTAGCAGTTTCAGTTGTATGGTTTCATTTTAGTTAAGGTAAATACTTTAGAAATGTTCCTTTTGTCAAATCTGCATGGTTGATGTGGTTGAAATCTGCCTGGAGTTGATGTTGTAACATCAGTGGTATGGACTGGTCTGATTGGGGTTGATGTTGTAACAACAGTGGTATGGACTGGTCTGATTGGGGTTGATGTTGTTGTCTGACTGGAGTTGATGTTGTTGTCTGACTAGAGTTGATGTTGTAACAACAGTGGTATGGACTGGTCTGATTGGGGTTGATGTTGTCTGACTGGAGTTGATGTTGTCTGACTAGAGTTGATGTTGTAACATCAGTGTTATGGACTGGTCTGATTGGAATTGATGTTGTTGTCTGACTGGGGTTGATGTTGTAACATCAGTGGTATGGACGGGTCTGATTGGGGTTGATGTTGTAACATCAGTGTTATGGACTGGTCTGATTGGAATTGATGTTGTTGTCTGACTGGGGTTGATGTTGTAACATCAGTGGTATGGACGGGTCTGATTGGGGTTGATGTTGTAACATCAGTGTTATGGACTGGTCTGATTGGGGTTGATGTTGTTGTCTGACTGGAGTGGATGTTGTAACATCAGTGGTATGGACTGGTCTGACTTACAACATATTCCTCCTGTGACCACTTGTGTAGCATTTTTAAGTATTGTATTGTATTGAAATTATTTAAAATCTTTATATCAGCATTAAATAGTTTGCAGATCAGATATTTTTGTTTCTTTAATTTTTTATTTTTTTTTGCCCTCATGTATACTAGTCCCCGTGGAGAAAACCACTCCATACCTTTCCCAACTCCTGCAATGAAATACATCGAGCCTTCTGACCTACCTCGGAAGTGCGAGAGCCGGCAGAAAATTTGAAATAAATGGTCACGGAAACAAGACTAGTAATATATTACTTGACAGCTGTTTCAACTAACATTCAGCACAATTTGAAAATTTTAGCTGTCACCCACTTAATATGACCTACCAAAATACTGAATTTTCAACTTTCCCACTCTCGCTATGGACACCCCCTTCTGTTTATAGATGTTCAAAGGCATGCTATTGATTGCATTTGCACACCACCTGTGAAAGTAGGCTTACATGTAGGAATGCAAGTATCAGTGGCGTAGGCAGGTGGGGGGGGGGGGGGGGTTAGGGGGGTCATAACCCCCCCCCCCCCATAGACCCCTCGGTAATATATAAAGTATGAGGGGGTGTAAATCGAAAGTTTGAGGTGGGGGGATGCAAATCGAAAGTTTGAGGGGGGGGGGGGTGCAAACCAAAAGACTGAGGGGGGTGCAAATCGAAAGTTTGTCCCCGGGTAAAAATTGGACCCCCCCCCCCCTTGAGACGATCCTGGCTACGCCACTGGCAAGTATTGTTTATTTCCAAACGAATTTTACAGAATATTTAATAGTGGAAAACCCATCCCTATTGCTTGACTAAAATTCCTGCTTTTGACAGATCTCGAACACCGACAAGACTGATGTGTTAACTGGAAGTTACTCTGTGTGCTGACTGGTGGGTTTTAGAAGGAAATAAAGCGGGAGTAATCTCCCCTAAACTTTCTGGGATATTAGTATATAACACTGCGGGGGATGGCAACTCGGGACATAGACATGATTTTTAATAAAATTTAATTACTGAAAGTTTTTTAAATAGAAACTCGTAGAAAAAAGAATTGCGCACCAAGTGAACAGCAAACAATGTGTGTGTAATGTGCGGAATATTAATATAAAGCTCAATTCTGTATGTAAAAATAAGTTTGTTTGTCGTTGACATACTTCGATGGATATAAGTGTTAGACTATTATCGTGCTCATAGTCTAAATTTATGAGTTAAAAAATTACTATTGAAAGTGTTGGGAAATAATTTTCATTTTTCAAACTGATAGTAATAATTGTCGGCATGTTTATTAAACACAATTTTAAAAAAATAACAAAAATTCTAATTATGTCTGAAAATTATTTATATTTAGTCCTATAGCACTTACTTCCCTTTGATAAATTAGGAAAACACAATTACTTCCCTTTATAAAACATTGCATTAGTGGAAAAGAATTTACTTTTTATTACTTTGTTTTGGTGTTGGGAAAAAAATAATTACATAATTAGCGGGGATTGATCAAGTGCAAATGTTGTAGGTATTTTACGAATAAGCTTGGAGTATTATAATTGTTCATTTGGTTTGTTTTGGCACCTACGTTCGTTTAAGTGAGTGCAAACGACTATGAATAAGTTGGGGTACTATAGTCGTTTATTAAGCTGTAACAAGCGATTCTGCCCCGGGCTAGACTGTGAGCACATTGCGTTTATGTTCGCGTTAGTGTTTTCTTTTTGTTTAGGTTGGGTTTGCGTTAGTGGTTGCGTTTTGATTTGGTTCGTTTTTGTTCTTTCTTTTTTCGTTTGTGTTTTTTTCTTTGGGTTTGTATTTGTGTTTGTGGTTGGTTTTGCGTTTGGATTTGGTTTGTTTGCTTTTTCGTTTTTTTTTTGTGTTGTTATTGGTTGGTATTGGTGTTTGTGGTTGTGGTTGGGTTTGTTGTTAGGTTTTTGTTTTCGTTTGTATTTGTAATTGTGTTAGCGTTATGTTTGCGTTTTGTTGTTTTGGTTGGTTGTGGTTTGGGTGGGCAATGCCGAGTTTATGATGATTACTAAACACACAGGTAATGGTCTTTAACAGAAAGGTTTTTCACAGAAGCCAGAGCAGGGCCTGGCCGGGACGGCTAGTACTTTATAAACTCAAATGCGGTGTTTGGAGAAATCGGAAATAGCATAAAGTATTACTTCCGGTAAACGGAAATTACCCAAAATTTTCCAAAGGGCAGAGAATTAGATCTTTTACTCAAATGTGAAATTTCATCTATCAAAACAGTAGGCCTACACAATTTATAGGTTTTGAAAGACCAAAAGTAGAAAAAGTTCCACTTCCGGTTACCAGAAATCGCTGAAAAGTTGATACAGAACTACAAATTTGATATATTACTTATATGAAATTTCATCAAAATGGCTGTACCGATAATAAAAAATATCATGTTTACAGACATATACTTACACATACAGACACAGGCATAGGGACAAAATTGAAAAACTATGTTTTTTTCCGACTCAGGGAGGTGGAAACGTCCAGATTTGGGAAAATCTCGATTTCGATTTTTTCCACGACTACAATGCTTCCTTTACACATCGTATACGAGAAAGTAAAAAAGAAGTTGAGGGATATGAATTAACTACAAAGACAATAACATGCCATTAGTATTTGATTACTAAGCATATTAAAAATGTCCCAATAAGGATAAACGCGTTGAAAAACCACCAGTTTCGGCGCTGAATCCCTCGGTTTTTCAAGCCACAAAATATTTTTTATTAAGAATGAATTTTATCATTGGCAACATCGTCATTTAAGTGGAGCACAGTGAAAGACACCTATCCATCGTACTCGTTTTGGGCGATTCCTCCTGGTTGGGTCCACAACTGCGTCGAATAAAGATGTCTTTTGTTACGTCAACTGTCTTTGATTAAAAATAATAAAAAGAAAACAATACGTTCAGTGTATAGAATAAATAAAGGCAGTATTAAAAATACCTACAACATTGCACTTGATCCATCCCCGCTAATTATAAACTTATTTTTTTCCTAACATCAAAACAAAGTAATAAAGAGTAAATTATTCCCCCCCCCCCCCCCCCCCCCCGCTGTAAGGATTTTTATAAAGGGAAGTACATGTGTTTTCCTAATTTATCAAGGGTCGTAATGAGCGCTAAAGGACTAAATGTAAATAATTTTCAGACACAATTAGAAGTTTTGTGAACGTTGATACATTTTTAAAAATTTTGATTGATGGACATGTCAATTATTATTGTAAGTTTGAAAAATGAAAATTGTTTTACATTGCCTTGAACAGAGGCGTTGCGTGGGAGGGGGACATATGTCCCCGGGCGCCGACCTAAGGGGGGGGGGGCGGGGCGCCAAATTGAAAGTTTGAGGGGGGGTGCAAATGAAAAGTTCGGGGGGGGGGGGGTGCAAATCGAAAGTTTGTCCCCGGGCGCCGGGAAGGGTCGCTACGCCTCTGGCCTTGAATATTAATTTTTAAAATCATGAATTTAGACCATGAGTACTTTAAACATTTAACACTTGACGCCACTATTTTTTCTTATTTTCGATTGTAATCCTCGATTTTTACAAACATTTTTACAAACATACAGAATTTTAGATGTTAGACTAATAATACACATTTCATTAGCGTTTACTTGGTGCGCAATTCCTTTTTCTACGAGATTCTATTCTATTTTAAAAAGTTTAAGTAATTAAAAATGGATTAATAATCTATATATATAATTCTCTTCTGGGAGCCGTTAGAAAACAAGCTGCAAGCGCCTCCTTGCAGTCCCCTCTCTTTCTCTCTATCTCACTACCACCCCCACCCCACCCCCACATTGTCTGGTGAGATGTGGTCACGCTAAATGTTTACAAAGCTAAATGCTAACAAATCGTAGACAGAGTTTCTTCCAGGCATCTCTTCGGGGGGGGCTAAGCCCCCCCCCCCCCCCCGAAAAATTTTTACCGCCCCCCCCCCCCCCGAACGGAATGAAATTTATATAATTTATATAGAAAATATATACTTTTAACAGTGTCCGGCCCCCCGAAGAAAGTCTACCGCCCCCCCCCGAAAATTTCAAGTGCCCCCCCCCCCCGGAGAAAAAAGTCTGGAAGAAACACTGATCGTAGAGCCGTAGAGCCGGTTTTCTATTAGGGGCAGATAATTTAGTTCGATTTTAATCTTACAGGAGGTAACTAAGAAATAACTAAGAGGAGGCTGCTTTCACGGGGGGGGGGGGGGGGGGTGTAGGGTCGGGGTTAGGGGAAAGGGGGGGGGGTTAGTGTTTTAAAGCAAATATTTTCAGTAGCAGCATTGGTACTGTCGAATTCACAAATTATGAATTACTGAAAAGTAGAAAATAAAACAACTAAATAGCGGCGTATGATACGCAGCGGGTCGGCTCGCATTGTCTAAATCCCTAGGTACCATCCCCTGTAGTGTTACATAAGATTATTCGAGAAATAATAGGGGAGATCATTCACGGTTTATTTTCAAAATATGCCCTCAACCTCATTGAATTCGACTTGAATGGCTACAGCGAGTAAAACAATGAAATTTAGAACAGTTGTTTAGAATGATAAATACACAATAGCGTTCAATGGTGTATTGCATTCATATTAAATATTATAGCATTATTATATTATAAAATCCCCAATCACCACAACACTCTGACTATACTAAATCCAATTAAGAGCAAACGTGTTTGCTAAATCACAATTATACTACTAGTAATTATTTCTTTGACTATTTCTAGCGTTTATGAAACCGGAAGTAATTTTGTACGTATTACACAAACATAAAATGCTTCAATTTTGGTTGAAAAATATGCTTTCTTGCATCAGACAGTGGCGTAGGCAGGGGGGGGGGCTATGGGGGGGGGGGGGGGGGTCATAACCTCCCCCCATAGACCCCTCGGTATATATAAAAAGTATGAGGGGGGGTGCAAATCGAAAGTTTGAGGGGGGTGCAAATCGAAAGTTTGAGGGGGGGGGGGGTGCAAATCGAAAGTTTGTCCCCGGGTAAAAATTGGAACCCCCCCCCTTGAGACGATCCTGGCTACGCCACTGGCATCAGATA